AAAAAAAAAAAAAAAAAAAATCTTTAAAAAAAAAAAAAAAAAGAAAAGCCCCTCTTAATATAGAAAGCATACAAGAGCAAAAATTCAGACTAAAATATTCCCTAATATTAAGCAGTTATTTTTTAAAACACAACTTATAGTTGCTGAATATCAATTTACCAAAACATCCAAGTATGACCTTATCTTGGCAAAACTCAGAATACTGTTTCTTCAACATCCTAAAAGACAGCTTGATGCACCACACTGTTCCATCTGCTTTGTTCTGTTTCTTCATGCCCCAAATGGAAATTAAACCCTTTGAGTAACAGCCAAAATTTCATCAATCATAGGAAAGTACTTAGAGCAGAGAAGTAACAGGATATGAATAGCAGAGAGAGACAAAACAATAGGTGAAAACAGCCTTGGTAATGACCTTACAGTGTATGCTGAGATAGAAAATCTATACAACATGTACAGGAATCACATTAAGTAATACTATTCCCACTTACCTGATGAGCTCTCAGTAAATACAGTTAATGTCTGTCCTCCAACACTTTGCAAGACAAATGGATGTTCTCTAGGCGCACTGACTGAAGCTGGTTTTCCACCGATATCATGAATATTTGCAAGATCCTCATTCAAAGTAAATGACACCTAACAGACAGACACATTAACCAGAGCTTATTACAACAGACTTTTGTATTCAAAGTATCTGTATAGAAATTCTGATTATAAATCAAATACTTTTTAAAAAATTTAATCTTTTCTAGTCATTTTATTAACATTTTTCTAAAACTTGATCAAAAAATCCTTAATACTTAGTCATAAAAAGAGAATCTATTCCCATTTGTCAGAATAATAGGGCTAATCCATTATAAAGATAGACAGCTTTCAAATGTCTTCTCTGGTCTGAAGAAATTCTATTTCCAAAATAGGAATAAAATTTACTTTCCAAAGGTCTTTGAGGTCACAGGATCATGTCTTGTTACATTTATATCCTTAAATATATAAATATATATCCTTAAATATATATATTATATATACATATCCTAGCAAAGGACCTGGCACATAGAAGGAAAACAGTATTTGCTGAATGAGTGAAGAGTTCAAGAGTACTAAGAAAACAATTATACTTGAAGTGGGGGAAGTGAGCTATTTACTAAGAAAGCTTAAACACTCCCATAAGCAGAGAATATATTTCTTTTTTAGGTCTTAATGACTACTGTATGAGTACATAGTGCTGTTTTATTTTTGAATATTTTAACAAATACAACTAAATATTTACAAAGATAACTCAATACTGAGGTTTAGAATAAAAAGACATAGTCGGTGTTCTTTCAAAATGATTTTTACTATATACCAGATCCCCCAAAAGAACATCAAATTTTACATCAAAGGGATTTATAAAACACTGATCTCCCAACCACACAGGAAGATTAAGTAGTCATTAAGTCTCTCTCCACTATGTGATAGGTACCACAAATTAAGCCCTGGACTTAATGGGTCAAAACCTAAAACCCTCAAAAATCCAAATCAAATGCCTTTTGCCACACTGAAATAATGTTAAAGTTATTACTGAAACAACACTAAGTTTCATAGTACTGAGAGAGGGGATATTTTAGGTCAAAGTAGAAAAATGCCAAGAACGAACAACTAGAAAGGAGTCCACTCATTCAGACAAGAGGTACATTTAGACTATTACGTGTTCCTGACCACCAGCCACTAGTCTGACGTGGAGTCTTCCAGAATGCAAACACCACTCTCTCTTTACTATTGTTAATGCATAGTAAAATAATCTCATGTTTTAAATAAAATTTTCGTAGAAATAATCTTACCTCAGTCCTTCCTTGATTCCTAAAAGAGAGAAAAGGAAACATTTTAAATTATTTAGATTTCATGTGTTTTTCAAATCTAAGCTAAACACTCAAAGAAATAACATCACTTCATATTTACATAAAATATTACATTTACAGAGATTAATAATTATTCTTGGCTCTCCTCAATTATTCTATTTGTAATCCTATAGGAAAAAAGTCACATTAATCCCACATGAGTATTTTAGATATTATGAGTTTGTGTCACTTAACACTATTATAACCTGTCCTAATAATATTTTATACAAATAATGATCTTATTACAATTCTTATCTTTATTTCTGAGCATATTTCGCATTCAGCAGCATGTGAATGCATATTTAACACCAGATATATAGTACTTCAGCAAACTTTACTATTTATTTTGTCTAGCCGAATGTTTCGTTTACCTAACAAAAGCTTAAAGATCAAAAACTGTTAAATTCAATAATATTTTTAAGTTATATGCAATTTTTTTCCACTATAAAAATATATGCCCATATATAAACATTAACACAAACATTAATTATTAATACAAACAAGCCAAAAGAAGTTTTAAAATAGCCATAATTCCACTGTTACACTTTGTACAATAAATATCCTTTCAGACTGTTTTCTGTATACAGTCATGCGTCACTTAATGACGGGGATACGTTCTGAGAAATGCATCGTTAAGTGATTTCATCGTGCTCACTTCGGCAGCACATATACTAAAAAAAAGTGATTTCATCGTCTTGCAAACATCACAGAGAGTACATCATAGAGTGTATAGCCTACTACACACCTGGGCTACGTGGTACTAATCTTATGGACCACTATCGTATATGCGGTCCATCATTGACAGAAACATTGTTATGTGGTGCATCACTGTATTTGAATTACATATTTTTTACTTTTTTACAAATATGAAATCAATGTACACCCTATATAACAGCCTAATTTAAACAAACAAACCTGTATGAAATACCTACTATATGCAAAATACTGAATGTAAGGTCCCTGTCCCCAACCAGAGGAAGATACAAAAGCTACATTCATAACTATAAAAAGAGATAAATCTTAATGTTTAAGAGACCCACAGTGTGCCAGGATCAGATAGTAAGACATCATTTCTTCCATTTTAAGAGTTAAGGGGGGCCGGCCCGGTGGCGTAGAAGTTCACGCATTCTGCTTCAGCAGCCAGGGGTTCGCCAGTTCGCATCCTGAGCGCAAACCTACTCACCATTCATCAAGCCATGCTGAGGCGGCATCCCACATAGAAGAGCTACAGCTCTACAACTATGATACACAACTACATACTGGGGCTTTGGGGAGAAAAAAGAAAAAGAGGAAGAGTGGCAACAGATGTTAGTGTGGGGCCAATCTTCCTCAAAAAAAAAAAAAAGAGTTAAGGAATGGCTCAATAAAAGAAGCAGCTCTGAGCTAAGTCTTGAAGGGTACTGGGATTTCAACAGACTGAGATGAGAGTATAGTATCAGAAGTAAATAGTTGAGCAAAGCCATGGAAGAGTCTGATCATGAAAAAGTGATCAGATTTGGCTGGAAGGGAGAGTGCAAAATAAGGAATAGTGGGAGATATACTATAAAGGAGAACTGGGGCTAGACCATGGAAGATTTTAAATATCACAATACAGAGGACAGACTTCATTCTTTAGGCAATGGAGAGCCACAGGTATTGTTTGAACAAAAGAATAAGTACGAAGTACAAAGATATGCTCCAAGAAACTTGCACCAGAAAATATATATAGAACAGATATAAAGACCAGTTAGAAAACTACTGTTTCTCCATAACTCCAGGCTGAGTTCCAGTCTGCCTTCATTCAGTTGCTCAATCATTCACTCTGTCACTGTCTACTACATATCCACTAGGCACTGTGCTAAGTGCATGATATAGTATGAGTATAGGTCATTGACCGCAAGAAGATTCCAGTTTAATGAAGAAAGACAGATCCAATCCATGAACAACTATAAACAGGATAACTTTATGACAGAGGTACAACATACTGTCATGGAAATACAGACAAGAAAGCTAAGAAAACATGAATTGAGTGCAAGCTGAGGTCAACAACAAGGGGGCATTCCAGGCTAAGAGAATAATCCAACTAAATATCAGAAATGAGAAGGTATCTAGCATATTCTTACTAAGGTAGGCTGGAGTCAAGTGGTAAAGAGCCTCTTAGGCCAGACTAAAGGGTCCAGAATCTTAAACAGATTTGTTTACTGCAGGACTTCTCAGAGTCTTTCAGATACTAAAATGCAACGTCAATCTTCTTTTTGTTGGGGAAGTATCCAGAACAGAAGTGAAAAAATTTTAAGATTTCACATAAAAATATGAATCTCCAGCTTCTCTTACAAGACTGGAAGATTTGGCAATAGTGTGCCCCTAACTCAGCATGACAACAATCCCCTTGACATGCCTAGATAGGCAGGCACTGAATTCACTAGGGGCCCTTCCCTGTCACCCCTGAACTTGGATTCTAGAGGCATTTAATTTAGCTACCTTTAAAACAGAGGTGATGTAGGCAAAGCAAAGGCAAAAATGCAGAAGGCACTTACGTAATGTTTACTGAATTGAATTGGGACTAACGCAAAAACCCATATAAAAAGTAATGAAGGCTGGAACCAGGTAGTCATAGAACGCAAGGAAGAGTGTATAGCAGCACCTTTAAGCTGCCAGAGCTTCCAATGACTGGAAGTGGGCAGCAAAGGAAAAAGGAGGATTGAAGATCATGCTGGCATTTCCAGTCTGGGTGACAAGAAAATCACCCAGATATAATTAGGGAACACAGGAGGGGAGGACAACTTCATTTTCATATATATAATTTAATGGCATCTTAGCTGGAATGATAAGAGACTGATGAGCTCTGGATGAATTAATTTTCTAGAAAAAAATTAATCCTTGAAGACTTAAGACTTTTATTTTAAAAGGATTACATATTCTTTTTTTTTTTACTGAGGTAACATTGGTTTATAACATTATATAAACTTCAGGTGTACATTATTGTATTTTGATGTCTGTGTAGACTACATCATGTTCACCACCCAAAGACTAATTACCATCCATCACCACACACATGTGCTCAGTCACCCCTTTCCCCGCTCCTCCCTCCCTGCTTCCCCTCTGGTAACCACCAATCTAATTTCTGTATCTATGTGTTTGTTTGTTGTTGTTGTTGTTATCTTCTACTTATGAGTGAGATCATACAGTACTTGACTTTGCTGAAAAAGGATGACATATTCTTTTGCGTTGGTGTGTGAATGTGTGAAGTATAAATGACCTTTTGTTGTTCTACGTTACAACTAAAATACACCCTTTCCATGATGAATTGTGGTTAAAATTATAAACATCCAGTATCGTAAAAGACAGTAATATCTTCAGACATGAATGACGTAAACATCCGGCCCATCCTTTCACTGAATGCCTCCTAACACCATGCAGTTTCTCCTTCATTACTCTGAGCCCATTTCTCAGTATCACACAGCTACCTCTTTAGACTCCAGTCTTGTTCCTCTTGCCTTTTTTTTTTTTAATTAATCATTTGTTTTTCCTTTTTCTTACACTTTTTAAATACTTCTTAGATTTGACACCACTGGAGCCAGACTTTTCATTAATCACTGATAGCCAATAAAGCACCACCTTTTCCGGGGTAAGAAAACCAACCAAATAATACCAAGCCTTTAACTGTTCTCCAGGGACTTTTATTGTTTTGTTTTGTTTTAATTTCTATTCATAAAGTCCCCTTCCTAAACAATTCAGCTCAAAAACCATTACGTGAGGCCCAGCAAGGTAAGTAACTGCAGAGTGCGTTGAGAAGCATGGTCACAGCCCAAATTGGGTGGAGAGGAAGTGCTTGGGGTAGAGAGGGCAGCCTGGGGCAAGGTTTCAGAGCCCAGTGGGATAAGAAGGGCATCCCCCATAAAGGAATGGCTCAACAAGAAGTGTGTCAGAGCCTAGTGGGGTGAGGGCATCCACATGGAGTGGAGGTAAGGAGGCATGCCTATGAGGAGAGGGCAGCCTCAGAACAATGGATGGAAGACTGAACAGGCTGAGGAGTGTCTCTGTGGAGGACAGCAAAGGTAGCAGCCTAATGAGGGGTGCTAGAGCCCTAGCAGGGTGAGGAGGACATTCACATGTTGGTGGGGGGGGGAAGGGGTCTGAACAAATAAGTGAATATCTTAAGGATAACAGGAATCAGGTTTCTCACCTTCAGAAAAGAGGTACAAATGTGAAAAGGGAGAAAATTGGAGCACCCCCTATGGTGTTGAACTAGAATTGGATATTGGTGTAAATTCAGGATTTTCAATATATGTAGATATAGAAACAAATATAGATGTAAAAGGGTGTGTGTGCATACACTTCCTAGCTCTAGTTGTGCCCCAAGAGGCCCTGGGAGCAGCAATGAGCACCTGCGGTATCCAGATCTTAGTTTTTAAATACTGTTCTCCTCTAGAAGGAACCACTGCTCCTTAGAGAAATGACTGACTCCAGGGCTTAGACAGAAATGTACAAGATGAGTCTAAAACATCTTTCTATGCCAAAAAGAAAGTGCTCAAAGAAGGATGAGGACATGTCAAAATGACACGGGACTTACATTATTGAACTGTACACTTAAAAATGATTAAGATGGTAAATTTTATATGTGTTTCTTACCACAATAAAGAAAAAAAGGGCACAAAAACCAGGTAAAAGGAGCTTCCACTGGCTAAATTTTGCATAATTTGAACATAAGAATAAATGATAATGGTAACAAATTGTGACCCACTGAATAAAACTAGAATTCATGAGTTCATGTTAACATAGATAAATAAAGTGGAAACTTTGATGAAGAATGGAATATTTATACAGTCTCAAAGTACAACCCCAGAGAATACTTAATAATTACAAAGGGGAAAAGAGTGAATTTACAGTGAAAAAGCTTAGAAGACACTCCTTAATCAAACGATCAAAGTTACCACTACCAGTAAGGGGACAAAATGAAAACATTCAAACCTTGCTAAAATA